AATTAATATTGTTAAAATGTCCGTCCTGCCTAAAGCAATCTATAGATTCAGTGCAATTCCTATCAAAATACCAACAGCCTTGTTCAATGAACTAGAGAAAATCATTCTGAAATTCATATGGAACCACAAAAGACCCCGAATAGCCAAAGCAATCCTGAGAAGGAAGAATAAAGCTGGGGGGATTATGCTCCCCAACTTCAAGCTCTACTACAAGGCCACAGTAATTAAGACAATTTGGTACTGGCACAAGAACAGACCCACAGACCAGTGGAACAGACTACAGAGCCCAGATATAAACTCAACCATATATGGTCAATTCATATATGATAAAGGAGCCATGCACATACAATGGGGAAATGACAGTCTCTTCAACAGCTCGTGTTGGCAAAACTGGACAGCTACATACAAGAGAATGAAACTGGATTATTGTTTAACCCCATACACAAAAGTAAACTAGAAATGGATCAAAGACCTGAATGTAAGTCATGAAACCACAAAACTCTTAGAAAACATAGGCAAAAATCTGAATATAAGCATGAGCAACTTCTTCCTGAACGCATCTCAAGAAAGGGACACAAAAGCAAAAATGAACTCATGGGACTACATCAAACTAAAAGGTTTCTGTATGGCAAAGGACACAATCAGCAGAACAAATTGGCATTCTACAGCATGGGAGAATATATTTGTAAATGACATCCAATAAGGGGGTAATATCCAAAATATATAAAGAACTCACATGTCTCAACACCCAAGAAGTAAATGATCTGATCATAAAATGAGCAGAGGATATGAACAGACACTCTTCCAAAGAAGAAATTCTGATGGCCAACAGACACATGAAAGGATGCTCCACATCACTAATCATCAGGGAAATGCAAATTAAAACCACAATGAGATATCACCTCACACCAGTAAGAATGGCCAGCATCGAAAAGACTAAGAACAAATCCTGGCAAGGATGCAGAGAAAGGGGAACCCCCCCTACACTGCTGATGGGAATGTAAGCTAGTTCAACTATTGTCGAAAGCAGTATGGAGGTTCCTGAAAAATCTAAAAATAGAAATACCATTTGACCTGGGAATCCCATTCCTTGGAATTTACCCAAAGAATACAACTTCTCAGATTCAAAAAGACATATGCATCCCTATGTTTATCGCAACACTATTCATAATAGCCAAAATGTGGACGCACCTGAGCGTCCATCAGTAGATGAATGAATAAAGATGTGGTACATATTCACAATGGAATACTATTCAGCCGTAAGAAACAAATCCTACCATTTGCAACATGGTTGGAGCTGGAGGATATTATGCCCCGTGAAAGAAGCCGGGAGGAGAAAGACAAGTGTCAAATGATTTCCCTCATTTGTGCAGTGTAACAATGTAGCAAAACTGAAGGAACAAAATAGCAGCAGACTCAGAGACTCCAAGAAGGGACTAGTGGTTACCAAAGGGGAGGGGCTGGGGAGAATGGGTGGGGAGGAAGGGAGAAGAAGATGGAGGGGTATTATGTTTAGTAAACATGGTGTGGGGGATCACTGGGAGAACAGTGTAGCACAGAGAAGGCACATAGTGGATCTGTGGCATCTTGCTGCACTGATGGACAGTGAGTGCATTGGGATATAGGTGGGGACTTGATAATATGAGTAAATGTAGTAACCACATTGTTTTTTCATGTGAGACCTTTATAGGAGTGTATATCAATAATACCTTAATAAAAAATTTAAGAAAAACAAAAGACCATGCTGGAGTATGTAAGTATATATGTGAGGTATTTACCACATCTTTAAATTGGCAGTATTATTATTTTTAGGTATTAGTCTTAATGCCTTTCAAATTCTAAAGATAGTGTTTGCCTTATGCTTTAATTTTATTTGATTCCAAAAGTCTGATCTGAACTCTTGTTTGGAGGCAAATTCCTTTAACACCTCTTATGGCTTGATCTACATTTGAACAAAAAAATTTTATTTATACTGTCTAATTTCCTAGCAAAGCCTGGAAAAAAGTACATAAATAATACAAACAGATAAGCTTATCTAACAAAAGAGTTAAGACTTCATCTTCAAAGAATCCCATTTTCCTTTATTGGAGGCACCCTCCCCTTCCTTCTGAAATTACATCTCTCTGCAACTGCGAAGTATGGGAAGAAATTCACTCATTTAAGTTTGATCTGATAGCTACTCTGGCTTTTGAAGCAGCTGGCAGATGCCAACCTAATATAGGAATGGCAATATATACCTTCTGTTTGAAAACATACCTGAAAGGTTCTAGGTATCTTAAGTATATAGGCAGGGAATTTGTTTCAAGCTCTTTTATGCACAGACTTTTCCCACTATTTCTACTACCTTCACAGCAGACCTTACCAGGATTAATTATCTCTTTGAAATCATGTTTTTGGAAGTCTGGTAAAACTGGATTAATCCACTCTTGTACTTGAATACCATGTTCTTTTGATAGTATTTTTATAGTTGTAGTTTTCCCACATCCAGGAGGACCTGTTATTAATAAAATAGATCCACCCTAAAATAAAATACAAACAAACATTAATTAAAAATAAAAATCACTGGAATGCTAGAATATTATGTTTGAGCTTTTCTTCCCAAATATTTACTTTTATTAATATTTTCTGAATATCTGGTATAAACAGACTAAATCTCACAATGATGCTAGCTGGAATAAACTAGCTTTAGGGCTTTAAGTGTAGCTTCTGATAATTCTTCAATTCTTGCATTATGTTCCTCCGAAGGACTACTTAGCAGCCAAATCTAAACAACAAACTTCAGCTATACTAAGGAGGTAACATCTGAAACAAGTATTTTTAGAGGTTACCTCAACTCATAAAATTCAATCTTAACATAGACCTCTCTTTGGATTATGTACTTTAATATTATAAAGCAGAATATTCTGATGGAGAGGCCTCAGTTTAGAAATCAGATTCTTTAAGAAATATATTTTAAGAACATTATACCAGAGATAGGACTCTAAAGAGACTTGAGGTTGTAGGTCCCAGTTGTTTTCCCTTATACAGTAAATTTGATAAAAATGTTAAAGCTAAAAAGATTTCAGGGGGAAAAAAATCAAGGCAAGATTTCCTACATCCAGTGGTGGAAATTATCATCCTTGCTTACTTGTTAACCTTTATTAAGTAGTGTAAGGAAGGCCTGTGTACTTGGGCTTGGAAGAGAGCCAGTTCCACTTTTTGAAATAGATGTGTGTGAGTTATAGTGTTGTTGGCCTTGAGTTTAATGTTAATGACTCAATAATACATATTAAATACTTATCTGAACAGAAATGCATATAAAACATGGTTCTATATTGATGGGTTCACATAAATGTGACCAGAGGAACATTAGGTTTTGCAGGAACCTAACTCTATATTTTTCTTAGGAACAATCGTACAATTTTGGCTAGTTCTTAGCATTAATTTTACAGAACATACCTAAGGCAAAAAATGAGAACCAATTTCCAAGAAAATTACTTTAAGAAGAGAAAAGGAAGATCAAGCATGGGCAGCCATGTATTTTTCTCACGTAACAGAATTAAGTGTCTGGTTTTTGACACAGTGAGTAGAGATACATAGCAAAAGTTTTGCTTCTAGTAAAAGAACTGGGAGTTAGTCTCCTCTCAGAATACTAACACATAAATATTTTTTTTGTTAATCTCATTGTACATACTGTAATAGTTTTACTACATTTTTAAGGAAGGCAATTGCCCTGAAATACTAAACTTGGCATGAAGTATTTACAGTAAATTAAAAAAAAATTTTTAGCTTGCCCACAGAGAAATCTAGAAGTTACCTAAAATGTTTTTGAATGAAAATGTCTTGTAGTTACTGACATTCTTTAAGTTTTTGTATAATAAAAAGTATAGTATTGGTTAAAGTCCAACTTCTTAGAGGGAAGAAACTTTAAAACTGAAGAAGAAATACTTTCTCTAATACCTATGTATGTACACACATTGCTGAGTTCATCCAACTGGTAGAATAACAACACATATATAGGTTTAAGACATGATAAATGCTAACAGTAAGAAAGTACTGATAAGTAAGGAAACACAGTGAACACTGAAAAATATACACAATCAGGACTGGTGGTTCCCATGGGGGAGGGGTTGGGCTGGGTATGTGGGAAGGGTGAAGGGAATAAAGGGGCACAAAAATTCTCAATCGTAATATAAGCTGGTCATGGGGATGGTAGTGCAGCATGGAGAATACAGTCAGTGATTCTGTAATGTCTTGGTATGTTGGCTGATAGTAACTGCACTAATGGGAGTGAGGATTTAATAAGATGGGAACTTCTGAACCACTGTGTGGCATGCTTGAAACCAATATAAGATTGTGTATCAATGATACTTAAAAAAAAACAGAACACTCGATTTTAAACAGTCTCTTGTGGGATAAAAAAACAAAAAGAAAAATATACACAATTAGCTGAGCTGACCAAACAAATCAGTGAGGAACAACTTGGATATAAGAGGTGTTGTTGGACTTCTGCGTGCTGAAAACACATCCTTTTACTATCATTCATTTTATAGAGTTACTATATAATAAAGAATTAACAGTACCCAAAGAAAGTTCTGGGGTTTGTCCTCAACTCCTGGAAAGTGAACTTTAGATGACCCTAGGAATGTCCTATCTGATTAAGAGTGCTTTTATTTACCTGGGGGCCTTGGACCACACCTGGATTATCAATGATTTACGGTGAGGTCTTTAGGCCATGAAGTGCCTGCTCTACTTTGGAAGATTTGCAGACTCAGCCACATGGAAAGTCAACCATGTTTACATAATCCAGCCCCAATAAAAACTCTGGACACCAGTCTTGGGCAAGCTTCCCTGGTCACAAATCCCGCAAGGGTACTGCTACACATCAGTGCTAAGAGGAGGTAATGCTGTCCAGGACTTCATGCAGAGAGGACAACTGGAAGATTCACGTTTGGAATTTCCCTGACTCTGTCCTATGCATTTGTCCCCTTGGCTAATTTTTACCTGTATCCTGTCATTGAAACAAAACATAACTCAGGGAAACTGCCCAAGAATCTGTACTCAAGAGATGAGATTTTTATGAGCCAAGAGAGGAATACCAATGTTAATACTGAAAATCCATCTTGAATAGATTATCTTAACTCTAAACCAAATGATTAGATCCACAAGCCAGATAGAAACCACCTGGATTCAAAAGAGAAACTGGACAGGTGGTAATTGCACTTATCACGATGAGCTTTCAGTAATGTATATAATTATCAAATCACTATGTTGTATATCTGAAACAAACATAATAAAAGATAAGTAAACAAATACCTAAAAAGAGAGAGAGAGAGAGGAGGATCTATTATCACTGGAGGCAACTAAAACAGCATCCTCATCTCAAAGTTGAAAATTAAAGGGAGTGATTTAAAACTTACCCTATCTTTCCATCTGGAACTGTATTTATAAGTAATTAAATACCCCAGCTAGTGATAGCAAACTTTTCTTTATAGAAAAATGGCAGCTAACAATTATAGAAATGATAATAAATTTTTTTAAATCACCATGTCATATCTTAGCAGAATAACTGATTCAGGCAAGGGCTAAAAATGGACACTAAAGCACTTAGGTGAAAAACTGCTGGGCAATGGTACACTTAAATGTTGCCAAAGTATCTCCCTATACATTCTGTGCCAGTTGAAGAGAAAATTATTTACAATGAAGATTTTTGACTACCATCTCCTTAATCTAGTCATCAAACTTAACATAAAGACAACAGGAGAACCAAATTTTCTGATGCTATACAATATAAAATATACACCATGACTTACAGAGTATTCTTGGGAAAATGTTCAGTTTGAGTCTAGTCAAACCCTTGATTCAAACTTCGAGGTTATAGGAAATGCAGGATAGAAGAATAAGTTAATCACCATGAGGAGTAAACAACCTGACAAATCTAGAATGTTAGACTTCTATAAGCCAACTGGCCTGATCTCTTCAATAAGTCAATGTCTGGAGAGAGAGAGTGAGGGGTCTGTTCTAGATCTTTTGTTATACAATCAAACCAGCTGTAAAAGACATTTTGGGGACAACTGGAGAAATCTGAGTATGAACTGAACATTAGCTAACATTAGGGGATTACAGTTAATTTTGTTAGACAGAATAATGGTACATATAGTCAATTAGGAAAATTTTTTTTAAGAAAAAGGCATATTGAAACTTCTCAAAGTAGGACTAAAATGTCACCTTCCTAATTTTAAATACTTGAGGGGGAAAATGATGGGCATATCACAGATGCATGAGTATTCAATTACTATTTTATTTTCATTTGAAGAATCTCAAAGTAAGTTTAAAAATGGAGAATATTCTAGGTTGTAGGATGAGAATAACTATGCAATTAGGAAGTGAAACAAAAAACATCAGTGTAAAATGAATGATGACTGCTTTTAGGCTTTATTTAGTACAAAATGAGTATGTAATTTGCCTGCTTGCAGTGTTAAGTATACTAGTAACCTCACTGGTTTAATGTGCTTTACAAGAGATAAAAAGAGATATAAGTGAAAGGAAAAACTCAGAAGTCTCTTGAGTCTTTTAGTGAGGCCAGAAGTAATAAGGTCAGAGAGCTTTTTACTGTAGATGATCTGGACATATTTGAACAAATCTCAATTGTATAATCATAAAATCTTAATAAAAGTTTAACTTCTTACAACCAAGTATAAGTCAGAGAAACCTTTGATGCTAAATATTTTTAAACACTTTTCTTATTTAATTACCTGTTTTTGCTGCCTTTCTAAGACTTCAGTTTTTAACCAGGTTTCAACTTCTTCAATTTTCTTTTTATGCACAGCAAGTTCATGCTAAAAATTTCAAATTTAAAATAAAACATTTTAACTCAAGAACTTTTGGTATCTCAGCAAAGATTAATCTCACTAAGCATTTTTAATGAAGAAACTAGCAAACAAATAATTAAAAAGGTCCTTTTGATTACACTTAATTTTTTATATTGCAATGGAAATTTTCTGTTCTTAAGCTGATACCATTGTATGAAAATTTTGGGCTGGTTTGGAATTACACAATTTTTTTAAATCCTGAAATACATTATGGGAAGGAAATAAATAGGGAGGAGTATTATATTTAGCAAAAATATAAGATCAATTCTATATGGGGTTAAATTAAATCTAAACCAAATAACCAATAGTACAACTTCAGAATAACTCTTGAGAAACAGGCTTGGAACATAAAAAAACCTATAAATTATTGTTTTCAATTCATTTACACATAAAAATTCATAAAAGATTTTTATGAATAATCTGAAAATGCACATCCTTCTCCTTCCTGAAATTAAATTATATGCTTATTTGTATGCTATTTAGTACCTGAGTTTCCGGTTTGTATTTATCCACCCATGGTTCATTTTCAGAGAGATATTCTTTTGAAATTTCTACACCATAAATCTGTTCTGAGGAAGATAGCTTTCCTCTTTTTCTAGCCGGCAGTCTGCTGCGTTCTAATGTGGAAGGCACATTTTTCCTTCTATAACTTGAGTTATTCACACCTAATGATGTGGCAGTAATAGTAGAGATGCCCAAATTCTCTGACAAATCATCAAATGATGGGTCTACCCAGTCTGCTACCTGAAAGAAATCATGTAAACATTATTATATTTTTTGCATCTATTCCTTATATAACTGAGCTATGTTAAACAAAAATTCTTATATTTGCAACATTTAAAATAAAAACCTCACAAATTAGCTCTTTAAATAAAACTAGCTCTATATGTATTAGTTATTTTTCTATTATAATAAGTCTAAATGCATACTTGTCTACTTGACCATGATAATAATGGTTGCCATATAAAGGAATATAAATACAAACCTAATTCTTTTTGCTAATTGTAAGCTTCCCAGGATAGAGAGTAGACTAATTCTTTTTAACTAATTTATAGGACTGAAACATAAGTAATAAAATAACCTGTCAAGAAAAGCAAAACAAAATAAACAAAAAGATATTACTTTAACCACATATAATAGTAAGAGCACAACTTCTGCTTTGACCAGGTTAATACATTTACAAACTAAGAACCATTTCATACAACCAGATAATCCCTATAAGCTTTGAGATATTGTGACAATACAGTACATAAGAATCCTAGTGCTACAAATAATTTGTAATTATGACTTTATTATATTTTTCATCAGTCCATAAATCAACTAATATTTTTACAAAAGAGTAGGAGGCTTTTCAGGGAGGATGATTTATCAGGTTTGTCTAAGAAAAAGAGTACTGGGATAACGAGCAGGAAAATCAGTGATTCCACTTCATGTTCTTCTGGTCTGTAGAAAATGTTAACCTCTCTACATTTTCCTCCATCATTTCTTCTTCTTTAAAATCCTTTCAAATGTACACAGAGAAGGATGATGAGTTAAGGAATTTTAAACTAAAGATATTTAGGAGTATTAAAAAGGTTTTTTGAAACAACTAAAACTTTTAAGATGGGTTTTCTTAACATTCCAACAGTATAAGTCTAGAAAAACCCAGCTTAGTATCAGGCTTTTGAAATTCTGTGCCTGGCTAACAAGGGAAAACCATGAGGATATTTTACTTAAAGAATACTCAGACAGTTATGAGCCATTTATTAGACAATGCTCCTTTCTGGGAGAAAAAGAATCAGAAGCTGGAGGTAAAAGTAGGTTCAGGAGAAAGTAGCAGCTCTATATCATCTTACTATGCTAATGGACAGTGACTACAAAGGGTGGGTGTGGAGGACTTGATACTATGGATGAATGTAGTAACCACAATGTTGCTCATGTGAATCCTTCATAAGATTGTTTCTCAATGATACCTTAATTTAAAAAAAAGTAGGTTCAGGAGAAGGAAGGTGAAGCTTGTAAGCATTTTTTTATGAATACAAAGTCACACTTCATTTCTTTTCATGGCAGAAAGTTGGGAATATTATCATCAGTGGGCATAGAAATGAAGACGTCTGGAAAAAATTTTTAGTCATAGTTACCCAATTCATTCCTCCCTCTTCAAAAGACTGTACTACAATTTTGGGCCCTTTCCTCTATTTTTAAGAGTCCATAAAAATATTATCTGTTACAATAAATCTTTTGATAGCAATCTGATGTGCATGTTATACATTTTATAGTTTTCTTACATAAATGTGGACTTTTATTTACTGGAAAAAAACCCCCAGCAATGTTAAATAATTTTCTTAAGAACAGATAAAAATCAGAACCACCAGTAGGAAAATAGCCACCTTGCACATGAATATGATACTGACTTGCATTCTATTCTACTTCCTAACCTTGCCGAGAAGTGGCACACTGAACCACATTTCTAAGAGGCAGGGCCTGTTTGTTAAGCTTCAATACCAACTGAAAGCCATATATTTTTCTTTCTTCTACTACTCCTTCATTCAAGAGTTTTCAGCCTTTTTTTTTTGTAACTGAAATCGTAAATGTTTTTTAAAAATTAAGGCTGTGCTCTTAGTGTACAGCTGTTCCACAATTCACTAGATTTTTTGTATCGCTAATACAACAGGTTCTGGGCACCATTCCTTTGATAGCAGTAATAAGTCATTAAGAACACATACAAAAATTATAATTCTTTTTGAGCAATTACTACATAGCCATTTTAGTGTATCATACCTTTCTGGAAGATACCTTTGGTGTAAGAAAAGTTTTTGACATTATAATCTTTAATAGTTCCCATCCGTAGTATACACCCTATAGTACATTAAAGTATAATTCACCTAGGAGAAAAAAAAAAAAACTCAAGAAAAACTGTAAAACATAAGTATTGTAATTAAAATATACTGATATAATCAACAACATAATAAACATTCAAGAACTAATGAAAGAAAACAGTAAATATAGATGAAGAAATCAAAATGCTAAAACAAATTCTACTTTTAATAACATAACTGTGTCAAATAATGTATTTGTGGTGGTATAAATGTAAAATTATTCATATAAACTCAGTAATATATTAGAAAAAGCAGAAAAACTACATGTTTACCTACCCTTGGTCATTAAGAAAAATTAGAGAATTCTATTTGTGTAGTTTTTACACTGAAAATTAGAATTTCCCTCATTTCAAATTACAGTTGCAGTTTTTTGTTTCCAAGATTTAAAAAAACCCACAATACAATGAATTCAGACTTATCTCTTACTTTGGACAAAAGACTTTAAATATTACTGTAGATTTTTATAACTTTTATTTGAACATACTAGGAAACTTTTAGGAAAAATTTCTTACTTTCATTATTCTTCAGTGTTATACAAGTGAATTCACCAATTTTAAGTTAACCAGAAGGAAAGTTTTTTTAAGGTGTACAAACTTATATAAACTGGAAGGTGTACCAGACACATTTATTTTCATAGTTTAGAGGCACAAATAATTTATAATGTGTAAATACATCACACACCAGAAAATAAATCGCATACAGACACATACAAATCGTTCACAATTAGTGAGGCTTTTGCTTTGGTGTTCAAAGCAGTACACAGGTGAACAGAACACCTATTTGAGTAAATATATTTGGCAGGTCCAAATAAAAGACGCAGGCTGTAATTACAGTCAGGGCCTCTAGTTGCTCTTTGAAAACAAAACTGACAACTACCTCTTTTAAAAAGCAAGTAACTGTCCCTGATGATGCCAGGTTCCTGAATGAGACGTCAGAAGTACCAGAGACATTCAAGGATATTTCTAGCAGACCCACCACCAACCTACATACTGCACAGGGGATACGAAGCTCAGTCACTCGACCAACGGAATGCTGCTAATCAGCAGAGAGCGGAAGGGGCTCGTCTGCCCAGGATCCCGGCCAGGACCCTGCACCCCCACCCTTCTCATCCCTAAAGGAGATGGGCAGGTCGGGAGGAGAAGCGACGAGAGCCAGGAAGGCGTGTAGACAGAGATGGACTCGTCTCTTTAGGACATATACACACCACAGCGGTAGCTGCGGCTGCCTTACTTTCCGGGAGCTGCATGCCCTCGTAGGCGGAGAGGAACGGAGGAGCCGGGTCCTGCCTCGGGTGGAAGGGATGCCACCAGCCCTAACCGGCTCAGCGCCGAGCCTCTTGGCGGTCCCGCCTCCCGGGGACCTTCCAGGCTGGTTGGCGCCTCCGCGACCCAGCCCGAGGGGCGGGGGCCGCCAAAGGAGCGATAACTTAGGCATCCAGCACACTGCCTGGCCCGAAGCGCGGACCCGACCTGTGTCCTGGCCTCGACATTGCGACGGAAGCGTGTTCAAGAAGGCCAGGTAACCAATGTCGGTGACTAGGAGGCGGGGGTGGGTCGCGAGCGCCGCGCAGGCCCCCGAGGACCCCGGGTTGCCGGCGCTGGCCGCCGCCCGCTCCTTCCGGCTCCTCCCCGTGGCGCGGAGGACGCGTGAGCCGCGGGGTCCGGAGCCAGCGCGGCGAGGACCATGGTGCTGCCGAACATCCTGCTTACCGGTCAGGGCGCGCGGCGGGAGGGACTGGCCCGGGCCAGAGCAGGGCCCTCGGTGTTCTGCTTCGGCGCTAGTCGAAGGCTGCGTGGTGTGGCCGTCGTCAGGGCCCCGCGACAGTTGCGGGAGGCGGGGGAGGAGACCGGGAACGTTAATTCTGTTGGTCAGAGGCGACTTGCTGAGGTGGAGAGAGGTAGACCAATCCAGCTCCCCTTTCCGGCAAATTGCCTAATCTTTCGGAATCTACTTCTTGTTTGTAGAACGGCTGTTGATTATTTGGCAGAGTTGTCTTGGGGGTTTTAGCGAGGCAGTATAAGGCGGTGTCTGGCCCTTAGTAGATCTGCTGTTAATGGGAAGCGCCTTAGTCCTGGGACCCTCCTCGACCATGCCTTGCTGTTCTTTGTATCTGAGAATCGGATTTCTGTAAAAGGGTTGGTATGTTTGTGGCGTACGGTGATTAATTGCTGCATAACGTTTGTTGAGTTCGCGTGGGAGACTTCTTTCTTTCAAAAAGAAAAAACCTCTACTGAGTATCTGTCCGTTTCTCCATCGTTTCTCATGTAAAGGTGCTGTGAAGTTCCCGGACTGACCGTGGGGATCCTTCTGGCTCTTGGATCCATCCTCGGGTCCCCTATTGTATGTGCCGGGTGCTCAAATGCTGCATAACGACTTCAAAGAATATTACTGCTTGTCGTTTAACTCTGAAAACGTTTATTGATTAATAATACGATAGGGCATTTATGGAAAAATATAATGGGTGTAGGTGCTGATTGTTGCAAGACAAAGATTGAGACGCTCTTTGCGGAAAAAAAGGAGTAACGTTTTATTTAACAAAACGAGCTTGTTGGCAGCGCGCAAATCCTTTGTTTCTCAGAACTGCAGATTAATCTCTCAGTTTAGGTTTTAAGATTATTTAAGAGGTAGATTTTACAGCATCTGAACTGTTTGAGTCAAACAGTGACCTTTTTTGTAATACTAAGCCATATTATCAAAAATCCATATGTGAGCAATTTATTTAAAAAGTGGTGAGTCCAGGATCAAACTTGTTCTATTATAGTGGATTCGAGGTAAATGATACAGTCTTGTATACGGATACTCGATTTATCCCTGTTATCTTTCATTTTAATGATCAGGTTTTATAATTTTAACTGAACAGCTTTAAGTTACGTATTTGGTTATTTTGAAATACAACAAATATATAAAAAAGAGAAAGTGGATAATGTATACTATTGTCATTTATATAAAAAGGAGAACGTGGTGTGTGTATGCCCATATGTATAATATGTACACAAATAAGCTACCATATATACAGACATGCACGTGTATATATATACAAATATGTATGCATAGGACTTATTTTGGAAACTTGTTTACAGCGATTGCCTCTAAGGAAGAGAATAGGGAATTGGTGGAAATGAGATTTGTCTTTCATACTGCCTGAATTTTTTTCCATGAACAATTTTTTAATTTTTAAAAAGCAAAAGCAAATACACGATGGTAATTTATTTGAGATGGCTAGTTTTATTCTGGGAATTTACAAATATGTATGCATAGGACTTATTTTGGAAACTTGTTTACAGCGATTGCCTCTAAGGAAGAGAATAGGGAATTGGTGGAAATGAGATTTGTCTTTCATACTGCCTGAATTTTTTCCATGAACAATTTTTTAATTTTTAAAAAGCAAAAGCAAATACACGATGGTAATTTATTTGAGATGGCTAGTTTTATTCTGGGAATTTCCATGGTGGTGGCAAGCAGTCTGAATTGACACCAGAATTGCCAAGGCCCCACTCCTGATAGAATCAGATACACTGAGTGAGATTCTTACATCCAGTTGGCTTTGGGTAGTTTTGATCAGGTCATATATATATATTAATTCACGTAGGATTGCTAATTAGGAAACTTTTCATTTCAGCTGTTCAAAACCTAGGAGCATATAGGCTCCTTATGTCTGATATAACTATATCATGAACAGTGTTTTTCTGTGGCTTGTCTTACAGGTACACCGGGGGTTGGAAAAACCACGCTAGGCCAGGAACTTGCATCGAGATCAGGACTGAAATACATTAATGTGGGTGATTTAGCTCGAGAAGGTAAGGGGCACTTCAGTGTTGGGTTTGTTTTAAAAGATAGAGAAAGAGGAAATGGACTTTTAGTACTATACTTGTCCGAGGATACAAAAAACAGAAAAATTGCCATTAAGGAATGTATGCTGTGTTGAGGGACTCATAGAAATAGAAAATATAAGTATCTGATGTTGCTTTTGGTTATTGTGACTATTATATCACCCCCCAATAGGCTAGCAGTTCTTGTGTATAATAATTGGGAAGGCTTCCATGAAGAGACTGGACTTAGGATAGATAGAATCTGAGTATGGAGAAGAGAATGTTGTGAGGTGGGCAGACACATTAAGGTTTGGGTGGTGCTAAGCATCGTTATGGAGACGGTGATTATATTCATCTCACTGGAAGGACATTACTTTGAATTTAGGCAGTAGGATATGACTACCCTATGGTATTCTTTTAGATTACCTGCCTGCATGCAATCCACATATTCTAAAGGGATACACGTTTTTACATATTTTACCTTGTTTTCTCCCAATTTTTTATCATCTCCTTATTTAATATCTTCATCTCTTTATGTTCTGTAGTTTGTACAGGATAGAAAGTAAGCAAATTTAAATAAAGGACATGAAAGTGTGCCTCATGAAAATTAAAAAGATTTAACAGTTATAGTAAAAACTTAAATATATATTTTTTAATTTGACATATTAAAAATTTTTTAAGTTCCTGACAGTTGCTACTGAAGTAACTATTTCAGGTTTGATCTAATGTGCGTATTTTTTTCAAATGATCTAAAGTCTGATCACCGGATATCATGGAGTCTGGCAAGATGGCTTCTCCCAAGAGCATGCCGAAAGATGCACAGATGATGGCACAAATCCTGAAGGATATGGGGATTACAGAATATGAGCCAAGAGTTATAAATCAGATGTTGGAGTTTGCCTTCTATTTAACAGTTATAGTAAAAACTTAAATATATATTTTTTAATTTGACATATTAAAAATTTTTTAAGTTCCTGACAGTTGCTACTGAAGTAACTATTTCAGGTTTGATCTAATGTGCGTATTTTTTTCAAATGATCTAAAGTCTGATCACCGGATATCATGGAGTCTGGCAAGATGGCTTCTCCCAAGAGCATGCCGAAAGATGCACAGATGATGGCACAAATCCTGAAGGATATGGGGATTACAGAATATGAGCCAAGAGTTATAAATCAGATGTTGGAGTTTGCCTTCCGATATGTGACCACAATTCTAGATGATGCAAAAATTTACTCAAGCCATGCTAAGAAAGCTACTGTTGATGCAGATGATGTGCGATTGGCAATACAGTGTCGTGCTGACCAGTCTTTTACCTCTCCTCCCCCAAGAGATTTTTTATTAGATATTGCAAGGCAAAGAAATCAAACCCCTTTGCCATTGATCAAGCCATATTCAGGCCCTAGGTTGCCACCTGATAGATACTGCTTGACTGCTCCGAACTATAGACTTAAGTCTTTACAAAAAAAGGCATCTACTTCTGCGGGAAGAATAACAGTTCCGCGGTTAAGTGTTGGTTCAGTTACTAGCCGACCAAGTACTCCCACCCTTGGCACAGCAACCCCACAAACCATGTCTGTGACCACTAAAGTAGGGGGTCCCATGTCCCTCACAGGGCAAAGGTTTACAGTGCAGATGCCCACTACCCAGTCCCCAGCTGTAAAGGCATCAATCCCTGCAGCATCAGCAGTTCAGAATGTTTTGATTAATCCATCATTAATTGGGTCCAAAAACATTCTTATCACCACTAATATGGTGTCATCACAAAATACTACCAATGAATCGTCAAATGCATTGAAAAGAAAACGTGAAGATGATGACGATGACGATGATGATGATGACGATGACTATGATAATTTGTAATCTAGCCTTGGTGCTTGTAACATGTATACTTGGTGTTGAATCATTGTACTGAGATTAAATATGCATGCTGGATGTTCTCAAGTTGTGTTTTAGAAATTTTAATACTTAATCAGTATAGTTACCATACTTCAATTGAGATGTTGCATTTTCTTTAATAGGATTAGTAATTGTTTTTCATCAGCCTTTTCAGTGTAAAAAATAAAGTCATTCATCAATAAGATTGTTGGTACTTTGGCAATTATGTTTTTAGAAGCAGTTTCCCCCCTCATTATCAACAGCAATATCAGTTGCAAAACTTCAAGTTATTGCAGTCTGTTTATTTCCACTAGAGTGTCACCTCTCCTGTCTTTAGGTGTTTAGATCATAGTGTGATCTTTAGTATATAAATCACTTATGTCTGTTGTCAGATCGCTGAAGTATGACTGTCTCCTTTTTGGAGAGACCACTTGGTCAGGATTTTTATTCATAGTGAATCCTCATCTGTTTGGATTTATTTCACTCAGTTGCCCAACTTTCTAGGTCCTATTTTTCTATCCCCTTGTTTATGTTTAAGGACCCTTGGTGTGTCTCCATAATATCTCCCCACTTTAAACATTTAAAACATTTTTTTCCAGTGTTCCATTTTGCAGGTCAATTTTGTGCATCTTTGCTTGTCATTTCATGCTCATATTTTTCATCCAGGTCTGGCATTTAAATTATAGTTAATCCAGGTTTGGCATTTAAATTACAGTTAATAGAACTTAGGTCTTTATTTGCTTTTCTAGCTATGCACTTTACTGTGCATAGCTAGTCTTCATTTTAAACCCATACAAAATCTGGTTTTGTTTGCCTCTTGAACTTTACAGTTTTTACAAGAGATTTCAGAGTCACAGTAGTCAGTTTCAGTCATGTCTTCCAGTTCTCACCCACTGAGTATTTCTAAATTTAATGAAGTTGCTACCTAGCCAATCATGAATAGCACCGAGAGGAACAGTAACACTAGATCATTGGGTCCTCTCCTACATGTACTCCCACCATTTTAGCCAGTGTTTTGCCCACCTAATGGTGTATGGCCCTTTCCCTCCTCTTATTTTTTATGAGAGGAAATCTAAGTCTTAAAGGAAAAGTATTGCTTTTCCCTCCTGTAATGCCAGGTAAAGGATTTCTGGTCTGACTTGACGTAGTGTTAGATGAGGCACTTTAGAAGGTTTCTCATAATACTAGATTTTTTTTCCCAGATGCCATTTGAATATGCCTGAAAATCTTACTAGAAAATATTCTGAGACATCCAGTCTCATTTTTTTCAAATGTGATATATTTTAAGAGAAACCGTGCAATTACCTATAAAGCAGTGGTTCTCAAGTATGGGTGATTATGCCCTTTAGGTAACAGTTGGCAACTTCTGGAGACATTTTTGGTAGTCAGGTTTAGGGTGGAGGGAGTTGCTATTGACACCTAATGGGTAGAAGTCAGGGATTTGGCTAAACATCCCACAATTCACAGGACAGCCCTACACTCTGTAACAGAATTAGCAAGCTCAATATGTTAGTATCTGAGGTTAGAAACCCTACTATAAAGAAATGAGACTTTAAGGAAACATTTTAAATATTTCTGAATGGAGTTTATTGCCATCCTAGGAGTCATGTTGAATTGTTAAGAGACTGCTTATGCCATTTGGAACCAAGTCAGGAAAAATAAAGTGGAGAATTAAGCTTAATGAAAGTATTAAGGAGTTACAAATGTGTGCTTAAGACTGCTTTATCCCTATTCTTCAGTCTCAGATTCCTCCTTGGTATCATTTCACATATGCACTCATTTAATCATACTTTACCAACATTCTTAATATTCCTGTTACCTGATCAGTCTTCAGCTTCTGTTACTAACTTTAGAATGCCCTTGGTCTAGAAAAAGTAATATAATTATATTGGTATTGGGTCTGTTTCAAATAGAAATTTAAAGCATAGCTGGGCCCTCAACACTGATAATTTTAATGTTTCCAACCCAGGGGTTGGAAAGAGGTGCTGTTATTTTTCTATAGGAACCACTAGCTAAAGACTAGACCACAATGCTTGAAGTACTTACTATTTGACCATTCATAGAAAGTTTGCCATCCCCACTCTGACTTCTTCTGTATCCCACTTTTTCCCTTTACAATGCAACTTCCAGGACACTTCTCCATTGGCCTTCCAGCACCCGTCTCCCAATCTTTGCATCTGACTCTCCCACTGTTAACATACCTCTCTCTGCCTTCACTGCAGCCATCTCATAATTCTGTTCCTACAAGTAATGTCATCCACTCAGGAATAGTTACTACCTTTTACTGATGACTTTTAAATTTATAATTAAACTTAGCTGTTTCTAGACAACTACTAAACATAACCATCCAGGCATTTCCCCAGACTTCTCCAAATTAATATGTTTTAAAAAGCACATGCTCTGAAGTCATCCCTGGCTCTACTTACCCACTCCTGATTCCCCCACCTGTATAAATGTATTACACACTACACAGATCCACTTGGCCTTTAAATCTTGAAAATTTGTCTGAAAAATTCCTGTGGTACTCTTATCCCATTCTCAAGACCATTTGTGCTGATTCTCCTCTTCAGTAGCTCTTCCCTCCCTCTTCTACACCATCATGTCCTTTAAAATCAGAGCGGTAATAACGGCTTGACCTTTTTACTGTTAAAGTCTATCCTCAATGAAGTACAGCAGGTTAGAATTGGTCACAGTTGACCGTCAGCCTTATCTGCAGCCATTTTACCCTATGTCCCCTTCAGTTTCCCTCAGTGCACCTTGTTCCCCAAACACACTGGGATTTTTCCACCTCCATGTCTTCATACACGCTGTTCCCTTTACCTGTTGATACCCTTTCTTATCTGCCTTACAAAGAACTCTTTAAAAGGCCTGATTCAAAGTCATATTTCGTGCGCTCTTAAATTTCTCTAAGTAGAATTCATTGCGGTCTTCTCTACTCAAAAGGTCAGGTATCAAAACCCTTAATCCTAAGCCAATTAATTTATTGTACTAATTGGATTACATTTACAAACTTTTGGTTGGATTGAGGTAAATGTGGTAAATATGTTTCCAGAGAAAGAAATCTGAAATGTTCTAAGTATTGGCAATAGCATCAAAATAAATGCCTAGCATCCTGATATCATTAACTTTAGAGAACAGCTTTTATGTGAATGTATAAATTCTACCATGGCAATTAAAGAAAATGTCATTTTATAGCTTAACAATAGCTGAGAAGGTCTTGTAAGGATTTGGTCTTTTAATTTTGACCCTATATTGTTTTTTTCCTCCAAGTAGTATATTTTTAAATGATAAAACTATTTAGAAAATTGATTTAATTTCTAAGCTTTTGGTAATTTAATCCAGTCAAACCTTTACATCTTCGCTTTATTAAGATCTTATGTATACACAACTATAAATTTGACTTCCAACTGAAACTTTACAGAATAGAATAAAAATTTCCCTTGCAAATTTGAAATGAAGTTTAGGATCCATCCATTTTCCCCATTCCATATGGAATGGGTTATAATCATCACCTAAAATTCTGCAGTAGCCTTGATATAGTAACCATGCCTCTGGATTTGCTTCCTTCCAACCCGTTCTCCAAACCAAAGCGATTGAAAATTTGAAACTGATCATGTCATTTCATGCTTTAAATGCCTTAATGGTTTTCCTTTGCCTTCGGATAAAGTCTAAACTCAATGCAGCCTTCAAGGCTCTTCTGATTTGGTCTCAGTGTACATGACCCCTTATTGCCTATTTTCTAACTATTGTAAAAGACTTGCCCTTCCTTGAAAGAACCTGCCCTCCCTAATCTCTTAGCTTTTGGATATCATGTTCTCTCTGTTGAGAATAGACTTCCCTACCGTTTTTGCCTAGCTAACTGCTTCAAGTTTCTACTTAGAAGTCACTTCCTCCAGGAAGCTCCTCTAATACCTCACCTTTATGTTCCTAACATAATAGGTGCCCATATTATTGCTCCCAAAGCAAAAGCACCATGAGCTGTAACATTAAAATATTATAATTTCCAGGTTACTTATCTGTCATCTCATTTTATTATGAAGTCCTTTGAGGGAAGGACTGTGCCTTCTTATTTTGTTCACAATTATGTTTATTGTCCCTATAGTCACTGGTACATGGTGTTTGATAAATGTATCAAAGCTTGGATTACACTATTAAAATATGTTAACATGATTTAAGAAAGACGCAATTCAGCATTATAGTATAGACTTTAATTCTAAAAGTTAATACGGCAATAGTTAATCTGTATTTTAGACAGCATGGATTTTTAAAGATTTCAGTAGTATTTAATGAATCAAGGATTTAAAATACGAAGGAACCTCAGCATTTATGAACTCTAGACTCCCACACAATACAGAATCAGCTGTAGATATCCTTAGATTTTTTTGGCATTAAAAAATAATAATAATGTGAAAATAATACAGAAAAAAGTCCTTCTAGTTTATCTCCATCTTTTGTTTCTCTTTGTCCTATTGCAGACAAGTTTGATTTGTGCTTTCTATGTTTTACTACTTAAGCATTTATCAAGTTGCTACCTAGTCTATATCCCAGAGTACTTTTTATCTACCTAATATTTGTTCCCTTAACTTTACATAGTAATTCATCAAGTTAGTAAACCAAGATTTAACTATTTCCTTATTGTAGAATATTTTTATCATTTTATTCTAAATTCTTTCTGATCAGAAATTAAGTGATAGAGGAAATCTCTGAATGGGTATGACATTTTTCTTCTAAAAATCACTTTAAAAATGCATTTCCAGAATCAAATTACTATATACATATGTAACTAATAGGCATAAAAGAGCTAATTTTAATTTGCATCTTTTTACTAGCTGGGCATGTCCAACAATTTCTCATGTATGTTTATTCTTTTCCATCCTGTGTGAAATCTTATTCTTTGTTAAGCTACTTTTATCTTGACCTCTAAGGTCTATATATATCTACATTTCAGTCCTTTACCCTACTACAGAATATTCCTCAGTCTGGTTTTTTTTTTTTTTATTTCTATTATTTCTCATTGAACAAAGATGTAACATTGTATATATTTGAATTAGTCATTTTATCTCTTCACAAACTCAAATGAATCATTCCTTTATAGAATTAAATTTTCCAGTAGTTACCTTGGAATTAAGAAATTAGCTCTTTTATCTACCTAGAGTTTGTAAGGCTTTAGATTGTTTTCTAAATTGTTAACCAGTTTTCCCTATACCAAGATGTTTAGTTTTTAGGCTTACAACTAACTTTTTAGTTTCTGGTAAACTGAGCAGTAACCCAAGGTCAAGGCTACAGGGATTCAGGACAGATGGCTCCTGTGCTCACAGAACCCTCCAGGCAAAACAGAGAACTGCCTTTGCCTCCCACTAACCTTCAGGACTACCCTTTTATCGCTTCAGACCTCATGCTCATCTTAACCTAATTTCAACCTGTGTCAAAATATTAAGGGAAGGGGGTGGGAAGACTTGAGCATGTTCTTTGAAATCATTAAAAGGATGGTCTAAGCCTGACTTACTACATACCCCCTAAGGATTCAGGTGAGGATGAGATTGATAGGGTCTCACCTTTTGAACTAAGAGTTCCTTTGAAAGCCAGCTTTGATATGTTGCAAAGTTGTTATGTTAGATTTAAATCTTTATAATTGCTCATCATTCTTGTTTTGTCTTCTGAAATAAGACATTGGACCCTTGGCTTTTTGGAATGCTGGCAATCTAGAAGTAAAGATAATGTTCAGGAGCATCTGGGTACTGACCCTCCTTCATGAAGATGTGACTTCAGTGGCAGAGTGTTCATCTGGAATTTGAGAACCTGTTGTTGCTTTTGATAAGTTTCATAACCTTGGCCCAATACATTTGGAATTTAATCTACTATTAATGTTTGAGAGGATATCCATGTGTCTCCTTATATCACCAATCTGTAGCTCAATAAAAATAATGCAGTTCTAATAGCCCCACACATTCTAATTCATACCTTTGTTGTTTTCAATTTTGGTAGCTAAAATGGTTTTGGAAATATTGCTATCCACATTTCCCTCTAGACAAAATTCTAACTTAGCAGTATTGCTCTTGTATTTGGTGTCTAAGGGACATTTATTGTGTTAGTGCTTTCTCTTGTATACAATTGAAAATTACTGAAAGTTACTTAAAAAATACTACTATAACAAAATAATGTAAATCTTTTTTAGGGCAGTTATATGGTGGCTATGATGAAGAGTACGATTGTCCCATTTTAGATGAAGATAGAGTAAGTATAATTTTTTTATAGAGTATACTTGAAAAATTTTAATAGGAAAGTTGACCTTTTTTTAAAAAAATAGCATTCATCTTTCCCCCCACCCCCCTTTCTTATAGGTAGTTGATGAATTAGAAAACCAAATGAGTGAAGGTGGAGTTATTGTTGATTACCATGGTTGTGATTTCTTCCCTGAACGATGGTTTCATATAGTTTTTGTGCTGAAAACAGATAACAGCGTACTGTACAAAAGACTTGAAACAAGGTAAGAAAGGAAAAACGTTGAATTCTTAAATTATAACATTTACTCAGATTGCTGAACTTAGCCAATACTACCATGATTAAAGGTTTCTATTTGAAAATATGACTATTTGATCACTGGTTATAAACCAAATTTGTATGGTACCAACAGTCTGAATATAAGACAAAAGATGCATTTGTAAAGGACAGGCAGTAGTTAACTGTGGTGAGAATGTAACTTAGTTCAACCATTGTGGAAAGCAATATGGAGATTCCTCAAAAACTAAAAATAGAAATACCATTTGACCCAGTAATTCCACTCCTAGGAATTTACCCAAAGAAACAAGATCCCTGATTCAAAAAGACATATGCACCCCTATGTTTATGGCAGCACTATTTATAATAGCCAAGATATGGAAGCAACCTAAGCATCCATCAGTAGATGAATAAAGAAGATGTGGTACATATACACAATGGAATACTATTTAGCCATAGAAGAAAACAGATCCTACCATTTGCAACAACATGGATAGAGCTGGAGGATATTATGCTCAGTGAAATTAGCCAGGCAGAGAAAGACAGGTACCAAATGATTTCACTCATTTGAGTATTACAAAGTAAAACTGAAGGAACAAAACAGCAGCAGACTCAGAGACTCCAAGAATGGACTACCTGTTACAAAAGGGAAGGGGTAGTGGAGAGAGAAGAGGATTAAAGGACATTATGATTAACACACATAATGTAGGGGGGTGGTCACGGGGAAGGCAGTATAGCACAGAGAAGACAGGTAGTGACTGTAGCATCTTACGTTGATGGACAGTGACTGCAATGTGGTGGCAGGGGGCAGGAACTTGATAATATGGCTGAATGTTGAAACCACAATGTTGCTCACGTGAAACCTTCATAAGATTATATATATCAATGATACCTTAATGAAAAAAAAAAACCACACGCAGTGTTTTATACCTGAGTAAATGAATATCTCAACTGACAATTTGATTTGGTAAAATGTACTATAATACATATATAAACAACCCTACGTAGTCGTGTTTTTCTTTAATGTAGAGCCTTGCTAGGAAAATGGCCAAGCCAGTAACATATTCTTTGCTACTGAATGAACATTATACACTCAAATCATCCTCAAAACAGGAATGAGAAAGTTTATGAAAAACTAACAAGATAAATCAACATTTAACAATCTTTAAAGTATATTTGAGTTAGTCCCTCCAAGAGAGCATCAGACTTCAGCCAGAATAATTCCAGAAGAAAAATTTTTATGTGAAATATTTTTCCATTGTATTTTGATTCAACTGTGGGAAAATGGGATTTCTAGAGGAATTCAGAAGGCAGTCTTGGGAAGGAAAGATCCAGTTTTCCTAAGGTCAGATTCACCTAAGGTCTGTGGTTCTCACAGACTGTAGGTCAGCTCTGAATAACTACCATTGGATGGGATACTTGCAAAATCTTTGTACAAAGTAGTAGTAAATATATAGAGAAATGTTAGAGCTAAACCTAAAATTTCCATCATCGTTCTTTAGGCAATGTAAAGCCATTAAAAAGTATTTGAACAGAGAAGTAATAGAGACCATATGGTACATACAGCTTTTCTGAAGATAATTTAAAATTTTTATTAAAAATTACTGTTGTATGTAAAGAGCCAAAGACTTACTAAGGTATGAGAGAAAAACTATGAGAGAACGTCTTTTTTGTTTTTAGCCACTGAAAAAGTTCCAAAGTAACAACTTTTAAAAACAAACCAGCTTCATTGAGATAAATTCACATCCCATACGATTCACTCATTTAGTGTACAAATCAGTGTTTCTTAATATATTTACTGAGTTGTGCATCCATTACTACAACAAATTTTCAAAAATGTTTGTCACCCCCGCAAAACCTCATGCCCATTAGCAGTCACCTCCCATTTCCCCTCTCTGCTAGCCCTAGGCAACCAGTAATCCACATTTCATTTCTGTGGATTTCCCTGTTCTAGACAATTCATGTAAATGAAGTCATGCTGTACATGAGGTTTTGTGTCTGGCTACTTTCACTTGGCATAGTGTTTTCAAGGTTCATTTGTGTTGTAGTACATACCAGTACTTCATTTCTTCTTACTGCTAAACAATATTCCATGTATCAATATACCGTATTTTGTTTATCCATTTATCAGATTATAGGCATCTGAGTATTTCCACTTTTTGGCTGTTACAAATAATGCTGCTATGAACATCTGTGCACATGTTTTTGAGTGGACATTTTATTGTGTTTATCTTAAATATGGAATTTCTGTAGGAATGGGATTGACACGGTAACTGTTTAACTTTTTGAGGAATCGTCAGTTTCCCAAAGTGGCTGTACCATTTTACATTCCCAAGAGCAATGTATGAAGGCTCCAGTATTTCCATATCCTTCTCAACACTTATCTTTTTTATTTTAACCATCCTAGGGGATGTGAAGTAGGATCTCATTGTGGTTTTGATTTGCATTTCCTTGATAGCTAATGATGTTGAGCATCTTTTCACATGTTTATTGGCCATTTGTGTATCTTTTTCAGAGAAAAGATATTTCAGAGAAATATCTATTCCGATCATTTGCCCAGTTTTTAATTGGGTTATTTGTCCTTTTTACTAAGTTATAAGAGTACTTCATGTACTTTAGATGCAAGTCCCTTGTCAGATATATGATTTGCAAAAACCTTCCCTCTTCTGTGGGTTGTCTTTATTTACAAAGTTAATCACCTTTTAAGTTGTACTTCAATTTAATTTTGGTTGTTACAAGGTTTAACTGGTTTGAGTTCGAATTTTTATCTTTAGCTAATTAGTTGGCTAGTTTACATATCTGCCTAAAGATTGTGCAAGTTAAATTTTATTTCAGTGTCTTTGGAATTATAAAATACAGACACATCTGTGTGATCAAGTACCCAATTAGTATATATGATATTCCTATCATATGTATTTCATTTTACTGTATGCCAACTATTTGTGTTATCTATCTATATCCTAATTCCTCTAACTCTTGAAATCTAGGACCATAGCTACAGATTCTCACAGCTCGGAGTCTGGCTTTAGATAGGTAGATATATTTGCTAATTGAATGGCTGAAAATTGTAGGGAAAAAAATTTCAGATAAACTTAAATATTGGTCCTTAATTGAACTCTCATCAAAGAAGTCTCTCATATTTACAGGTACTATTTATTTTCTCTAGGCAGAGACTACAAGATATATTTTTTTGTGATTTTTCTTATATTCAAAAATATCCAGTTTCTGGTATCAGTTAATGCCATTCAGTTTGCCTATCTTCTCTTTGCCTTCTAGGGGTTATAATGAGAAGAAACTAAATGACAATATTCAGTGTGAAATTTTTCAAGTTCTTTATCAAGAGGCATTAGCATCCTACAAGGAAGAAATAGTGCATCAGCTGCCCAGCAATAAACCAGAAGACCTAGAGGATAACATCAATCAGATACTGAAATGGATTGAGCAATGGGTCAAAGATCATACGTCTTGATTAAAACGAGTGGCCACTTAACAATCACTCTTGATGTATCTCTGCTCACATGCTACAAATTATCCAAATATCAGTAAAACTTCTTTATTAAAATTGTGCTGCAGGACTAGTAGATGAATAGTAAAAGGTTTATGTTTATTTTTTTCTCCATGAGAAAGCTAAATAATCTCAAATATAATGAATATATTAAGACTGAAAGCTGTCATAATTTAATGCTTCAACTGCTAAAGAATATATAAATCTGACCAAATGGGTAGGTATCTTTTAAGCTTTTACAGAGGAAAATGAAAATGGTCTCTTAAATAATGATAAAGTATCACATTTTACTTTTTATTTCTTTAAATTAAAAAAAATGGAAGTGGTAATACTTGCATTTGTATAAAATTTGTAAGGGTGCAAAGGGTATACTGGAAAGGTAGGTTTCCCTTCCAGACCACCCCTGTTCTTCAGCCACTCTAGAACCCCTCCCTTTAGGAAGCAGTGTTACTGGATTCCTATATGTCTTTTTAGAGTTTTTCTATGTCTGCAAAGCATGTGTGTTTGGACATTTTTTTAAGCACATGGTAGCATATCATGTACACCATTCTTTATTTTTTTTCACTTAATATATTTTGAAGATTATATCATCTCAAAATATATAGATCTCCCTATTTTTTTATTGATTCAATTCACATATCAAATTCATTGAAGTCACTGGTTTTTATCATATTCAAAAGACTGTGCAGCCATCACCACTATTAACTTTGTAACATTTTCATCATCCCACCCAAAAGAAGTCCCATACCCATTAGCAGTCATTTCCCATTTTTCCCTTCTCCCAGCCCTTTGAAATCACAAATCTACTTAGTGTATATGGATTTGCATATTCTGAGCATTTCATATAAATGGAATTTATCCGGCCTTTTGTGTGTAGTTTTCTTTCATGTTGCATATTGTTTTCAAGGTCATCCCTGTTGTAGCATGTGCTAATACGTCAATTCCTTTTTGTGATCAAATGATATTCCATTGTATGGCTATACCATTTTGTTTACCCATTCCATCAACTGCACAATTGGGTTAGATCTACTTTAGGTATTATGAATTATGCTATGAACATTTGTGTACAGGTTTTTGTGTAGATGTATGTTTTCAATTCTATTGGGTGTATACCTAGGAGGGAAATTGCTGGGTCAATATTGCAACTGAGTTTAACTTTTTGAGGAAATACAAAACCATTTTCCAAAGTGATTGCATTACTTTACATTCCCACCTTTCATGCATTAGGGAGCTGGCTTCTCACATCCTTGCCAACACTTGCTACTGTTCATCTAATAGCCATTCTGTGGATGTACAGCCAGTCATATTTCATTTTGGTTTTGATTTACATTTTCCTAATGACAAATGACACTGAGCCTCTCTTCATATGCCTATTTGTCATTTGTACATTTTCTTTTCTAATCTTTTTACTGTTTGCATGTAATTCCATTAGGCACATACTATGATTGATTTAATTGGTCCCCTGTTGATGGACATTTTGGTCATCTCCAGCTTTTTACTATTAGCAAACGTGATGCAAGAATGGTAACAAATAATAACATATGTTACTGTGTGCCAGTCACTCTTAAACACATTTCAAAAGTGAACTCAATCCACCATGGCTACTGTCTGAGGTAGGTATTATTATTTATTATTTACATTACAGGTGAACGGACCAAAGCACAGACGATCAGGTGACTTCCTAAGGTGACAGCCAGGAAGCGTCAGGCAGGACTCCATCCATGCAGGCCCTTATTCACTAAGCTGTGCTTCCACAGCATCTGTAACTTTGCACATGAACAAGTTTATCTATCGAGTGAGTTGCTGAAAGATAAATTGTATGCATATATTAACAGTAGATTCACTTTAATGAACATAGATTGCCTACTATGTATATTCAAGACTCAATGCAAATAACTGGTGGGAAAAGCTTCCCAAGGTAAATTCTTAACCTCCATATGCTTGTAACTTAGTATACAAAGAAGACATGCACACAGATACTTTAGACAAATAGGGTAGATTGTGATAGGTGCCCTTTTGGGGACGCTAACATAATGACAGAAGAGAGAAAAGTTATTTTCTACTATGGGTATCAGAAGAGGATAAATGATGTAGGGTACAGGGCCTTGAAAGGTATGCAGGGAGAGATTACTCAGTTTATAATAATGTCACAAAGATCCTACCCAGTACTACCTGGATCAAATATATAAAATGAGGATAATTACTTCATAGGGCTACTGTAAGAATTAAATAAACAGTGCTTTGCACATACTAAGCACCACATGTATGTTCATTATTTTTAGGAGTACTAATGGCTGTTTTGAAAAGATAATCTTCATTACTGGGATTCACTTAATTCTGTTTATCAAGTGACTGCTGATTGTCTTAACACTAATATTGACTCATAATAATAGACAAGATTTTCAACAGAAGGGAGATAATGGAGTCTAGTACAGAGCAATACATCTTTTTGGAATTTTATAAATAATATACTTAACAAATTTCAGTTCTAAGGTTTCACATGAAACTAATGACAAGGCTTTAATATCTTACACTTGTTTGAAAAAAGTCTTAAAAATAACCCCATAACTGTTTGTCTCTTTTATTCAAACCTACTTGTTAACTTTTTGTTTAAGCTGATTTAAACTAAACTTGAGAAAATGTGTGCCAAATTTTCAATCATTCTATATTTCTGTAAATGAGACCCTAATATGATTTATTTGGTTTTTCAAGAATACCTTAATAAGCTCTCATATATGTATAACTACTGGGTTTTTTTCCCTTATGCCCTTCTTGGTGTATTTTTATTTTTGTGGGCTTTGAAATATGGGTTTGGCCTTCATCTATATTTCCTCTCCTAAGCATGTCCTACCATAAATCTCTACCAACATTTAAATTTGTCTTTAACACAAAAGTAGTACAGGTCAAAACTGCTGAGAATGATATATTCTGTCCTATACAGTAGGGTGAGGGCAATGCAAAAAAAAAAGAGATCACCATTCTTAATAACATTAGTTGCTGTATATGTGAAAATATCACAAAAATTCCTTACATATACCTAGACTTTTAGTTAAAATTTAGTTCCTTAACCCAGGAATTCCACTCCTAGGAATTTACCCAAAGAATACAAGTTCTCAGGTTCAAAAAGACATATGCACCCCTATGTTTATTGCAGCACTATTTACAATAGCCAAGAAATAGAGGCAACCTAAGTGTCCATCAGTAGATGAATGGATAAAGAAGAGGTGGTACATATACA